GGGGGGCAGAAGGTGGGAGGCAGAAGGTGGGGGGCAGAAGGTGGGGGCAGAAAGGGAGGAGGAAGGGAAGAAGAAAAGAAGAAGAATCTTGGCAGAGACTGGACACAAGCTGGGCGGCCGACACGTGTTCCGTCTGGCTGTTTCCAGAAAGGCCACTCTAGGGCTCTGACTGTCCTCATCAAACACCTTCCACATCTTCCCAAAAAGCGTGTTAACCAAGGCAGTGGTCTGGATGCTTCACTTCCGGGAGTGTTGGTGCCCCTGGCAGCTCTCTAGCCCACCTTCCATCCAGCCCATGTGCCCCCACACAGACCCCTGCATCCACCGCACACATGTACATGTGCACATCTGGGACAGGCACGCAGATGGACTGTGCACCTGGGCGCCTGCGCTGTATCTCCATGTACACAGTGTAGATCTAACTCACCCGTGCCAGGATACAGCGCAAGTGTTCAGCGGGACTTGGTGATTCACGAGAGTCACCTGTCATGAACTTTTCATGAATTTCCTCCATAGGCAGCTGATGAATCCCTGAAGATTCACAAAGTCACATCCTAAAAACAACACAGCTGTCCATTGACAGGTGAGTGAATAGACAAGGCACAGCCTATGCATGCAGTGACACGGCACTCGGCTGTGAAAAGGAAGGATTATGGACACGTGCCACTGCGTCGCCGACCCTTGAAACACCATGCTGGGGAGATAAGCCAGTCACAGAAGGACAAATACTGCATGATTCCACTCACGTGAATGCCAGGGATCCTCAGACGCAGACACAGAAAGCAGAGCGGTGGGCGCCAGGGACTAGGGGGCAGGGGGTGGGGAGTGATTGATCAGTGAGGACAGAGCTTCAGTTTAGGAGGTGGGAGAGCTCTGGAGGTGGGGGGTGGTGGTGGCTGCACAAGAATGTGAGTGCAATCTTCACACCACGACATTCTATACTTAAAATGATTCTGGCCAGGTGCAGTGCCTCCAGCCTATAATCCCAGCATTTTGGGAGGCCAAGCTGGGTGGATCACGAGATCAGGAGATCGAGAACATCCTGGCCAACACGGTGAAATCCTGTCTCTACTAAAAACACAAACAAATTAGTCGCATGCTGTGGCATGCACCTGTAATCCCAGCTACTCAGGAGGCTGAGGCAGGATTTGAACCCGGGAGGCGGAGATTGCAGTGAGCTGAGATCAAGCCACTGCACTCCAGCCTGGTGACAGAGGGAGACTCTGTCTCAAAAAAAAAAAAAAAAAAAAAAAGATTCTGATGCTGAATATATGTTATGTGTATTTTGCCACAAGAAAATATGTTTTTAAATGGTTACATGGGAAATTTTATTTTATCTTGCCACAAGTTTTAAAAGTGAACGAATGACTCTTGGGGCACACTGGTACAGGCTTTTTGTAGGTAAAACCAGGAGATACGTCTGTTTTGTCCCTGGTCTGTGTGGCAATGAAGTCTGGTTTGTTTTTTTCATGTCAATAAAAATGATCATTTGTGGAACCCTGAGTGTTCACCAGATACCATGCTAAGGGCCTGAAAGGCTTGATTTCTGGTTCCACACTCACGGTAACCCTGAGATAACAGCACTGCCTGAACCCTAACGATGTGCATTAGAAAATGAAGGCTCAGACAGCTCAGGTAGGTTTTCCATGACAGCGCGTCTAAAACGTGGCAGGTGGCTCACTTCTGTAATCCCAGCAATTTGGGAGGCAAAGCAGGAGGATTGCTTAAGTCCAGGGGTTTAAGACCAGCCTGAGCAAAATGGGGAAATCCCGTCCTCTGTAAAAAATCAAAAAATTAGCCGGCACAGGAGCACATGCCTGTGGCCCAGCTACTTGGGAGGCTCAGATGGGAAGATTGCTGGAGCCCAGAAGGTCGAGGCTGCAGTGAGCCAAGATCACACCACTGCACTCCAGGCTGGCCGACAGAGCCAGACCCTGTCTCAAAATAAAGTAAAATAAAATGTGGCAGCGTGTGAATTGTAATCCATGCCACGCTGGCCATGGAATCTAAGATTCTGATCATCACACTATGCAGCTCACTGCTCTTCCCCTTAGACCTCAGTCTCCTTTCCTATAGAACAAAAAGCTTCATTGATCCTTCTGAGTCGGCATCACAGACCTTTCCAGAGGGAGTTGCCTGGTCTGGGCTTGAGGACTAACAGAGACGGCCACACACAGTCCCTGGCCTCAAGGGGCTCTCTGGCAGAGAAAGCATCTCAGTGTGATCACTTCTCTGAGAGAGGAACCATCCAATCCAATCTAGCAGACAGGGTGTGCTTCCTGGAGGAGGTGACATTTGAGTTGGGTTTTGGGTGTGAATAAGAGGAGGCTGAACTGTAAGACAGGAACAATGTCATGGAGAAATTAAGCTCATAGTCTTTGGGTTCAATAGATTTTAATTCAAATTCCAAACCACCTACTTACCCCTTCTGAGTCTCAATACTGTCACCCATGAAATGGGATAATAATTTATCCATCTCATGGGTTGTTACGTAGGTAGGCGTTCAGTGCAGCATCTGCACATGGTGAGCTCATGATACGTAACTCAGGCCTGTGATAATTTGCGTATTGCTAAGATGGTCCAAAAAGTCTTCTTAGATCCAGTTCTTAGATCCAGTGGCTTTCAACTTAGTAATAATTGCAATAACAAACGATCTTGAGCACACTCGCTGGAGCAAGTAGGATCCCTGCTTCCTCTCTGAGCTCAGCCTGCTCGCACACGCCTGGCACCATGGGCCGCCCCGGGAGGAAGCTGCCTTTTTACGAGATGAATGGCAGCCCCCTCCTGCATGCATTTTTATGCTGTATTTGGTAGGAAGCACTGACGCACCCAGGTCATCCAAGGGCTGGGCCGTGATCTGGCCTCCATACACTGAGAGTCAAAGCCTCTGCCAGGAGTCCATGTCAGTCACAAGTAGAGCCATTTGCTTCTATTTTGGTGTAGCAAAGAGGACCTGTGCATGGAAGGGATCCCAGCTGGCCACGATCTTGACAATGTGTTTGTTTTAATGCTGAATTACTTCTATAAATAGGTCTGGGAGAGGTGGCTGCCGAGGCTGCTATCCTGCTTGGCCAGCTGAAGGTTTGGGACTCAGGATGGGGCCATGGCTGAGACCATGAGGGCTGCCCATGCATGAACCCGCCTGCTGGCCTTCATGAGCCCACTATCTGAATGTGGTTCCCCTTCTCCCCAGAACCAGGTACCACCTCCTCTGGGGAGCCTTCCCTGCCCCTCTGCAGGATATGGCCTCCTTGTTGCTCTCCTTCCATCGGTTTATGTGCCTGTCTCCACCAACAGACCAGGAGCCTCTGAGGCAGGGACTGGGTCTGTCTGAGTCATCTCTGCCTTCTTAGCGCTTGCCTAGGTGCTCAGCGAAAGCTCAAACCTGCCTGAGTTCTCACTGTGTCTTCGTTATCCCCAGCCTGTGAACTCAGGTGAGCTTCTCTCCCTCTCTGGGCCTTGGTTTCTATGCATAGGAAACAGAACACCCATCCCTTTTCATGAGGGTGTGGTGAGCCTCAGAACTTCCAGACATCCCCTTCTTTGCTGCCCCGGACTCCTGTGCTCACATGAGCAACACTTTCACCTGGTGCAACCTGCACATGGGACTCAACAATGATGGTGAACACCTCAAAGGGGTTCTGTTAGGATGAAATGGGATAATTTTGGTAAAGTTAAACTAAAACTAAAACTCCTTTCCCCAATGTTAGCAACCACTGGCATTGTATTAGTCCATTCTCATGCTGCTATGAAGAAATACCCCAGACTGGGTAATTTATAAAGAAAAGAGGTTTAATTGACTCACAGTTTTGCAGGGCTGGGGAGGCCTCAGGAAACTTACAATTGTGGCAGAAGGCATCTCTTCACAGAGCAGCAGGAGAATGAGAGCAAGCAGGGGAAATGCCAGATGCTTATAAAACCCTGAGATCTCATGAGAACTCACTCATTATCACAAGAACAGCATGGGGGAAACCAGTGCCATGATTCAGTTATCTCCACCTGGTCGTACCCTTGATACATGGGGATTATGGGGACTATAATTCAAGATGAGATTTGG